AAGGACACGGACATGATGACCAGATTTAAGGATCGGTTTGAAGTTCCAGTACTGCTTGGGGTAGTAAGTCCCTCTGAAGCACATGTGGAATGTTAGCTAACACTGACACGCAAAGCAAACAGAGCTTAGAACTATGCTGGAGCCTCACACATGATTTAATCAATCTACTTCTGAAAGATTTTGGATCCAACCATGACTGTCACCTCCACTCCTTTGGAAAGAACTAAATCATATATGGCATTTCCAACAACATTTTTATTTCAAAGATTCTCATTGCAGCAGTGCAGTTACGGCAAAAGCAACAAGACCAACTGTAACTATGTATCAGAAGAAATCTGAGGGGACTCCTTTGAACAGAGGTAGCACAAAATATTATAAATTAGCAATAAATGAAATGCAGGGATCTCATTGCATTTAATTAATCAAGCTTGCTTTAAAAGTATTTATAACCCAAAATGACAAGAAATCTACAAAATGAAAATTACATATTGTAATTATTTACTTATTTGGCGATTACCTGGATTTGTAAAAAAAATCTTACTTGGAAGCTCTTCCCAGAAATCTACCTAGCCAACTCCATAATGTCTTATCCTATTACTGCTTGCTCCTTCCAAGCCACTCTATATTCCTCTTTGCCTACAAAAGACGCGATAACCTCGGAGTCCTTAAGTACTAGGGACCCACTCCACATCTTAACATGTGGTGAGCTTTCAAAGTTCTTCTGAGATATTTCACTACTATCCCAATCCCATATCATTACATCAGGAATTATTGTGACATCAAACTCGCGAATAAAACTCGGGTCATTTACACTTCTTATCTTCCTATTCCCCTTAAATCTAAACATGTTCATTAGAAGCGAGTGCAAGCAGCAAACTTCGTTTTAGAGTAGTTACGCTCACAGATTTACATATTGAAATACTATTTTATGATAAATTACTTTCGTTTTATTTTTCTTTTGCATTACACTTAGGGCATTATCATTGTTTTTTAGATTGCGTAAATGAGTTATGTTACTTGCGAATCTCTTTTAGGATTATCAAAGTGATGTTGCAAAATATGTTATGGAAAGAAGGCGTTGGGGCTGATAGAGCTGAGAACAAGTGGCCTAAAATAGTGGTTTCCAACCAGGGGCAATTTTGCGCCCAGGGGACACTTGGCAACGTGTGGAGACGTTGATTATCACAGCTGGGGGAAGGTGCTACTGGCATCTAGTGGGTGTGGTCTAGGATGCTGCTAAACCATTGTCCTACAACGCACAAGACAGCCCCCACAACAAAGAATTATCTGGCCAAATATCTGTAGCGCTAAAGTTGAGAAACCCTGATCTATGGAGCCTTCTGCACAAGTGCCCAGGAGATAAATGCAGTGGGTACACCACCACTCAGAGCAGCATTGCTTATGCTAGAATAAAAGGGGAAACAAACCAAGTGCCTGAAACATTTATTCAACAAGATAAGTACCGTGTGGCAGTGGAATACTATACATCAGTGAAGAGTGAATGAACAACAGCCACATCCATCATTGTGAATGAACCTCAAAAATGTGCTGAATTTTCAAAAAGCAAGTTGCATGTATGTGAAGTTCAAAACCAAGCAAAACAGAAATCGTTTGGGGACGGATTCATCCAAAATGCTGTGATAAAACTCACAGCAACCACAGTGACCTTTAGTCCGCTTATTTGAACACCTCCGTCCGCTGCCTTCTACGTCAGGGGGAAGTGATGCTTAGAAGGACAGAATTGCCTCCTAGGGCATTTGAGGGTCTTTCAGCGCTCACAGTGATGGGAGGAGAGGGTGGTAATAGCAATTAGTGGGTGAGGCAGGGACAAGAGTTATCCACCAATGCACGGGACGGTCCCACACAGGGAAAACCCGTCTGCATCCCGCACTACTTTTAACGGACTCCCCGGGCATTCACGTAGGTGGAAAAACACCTTTCACAAAAACTAACCCAACACAAATCTTAGACCAAAATATAAACTGCTTCTAGAAGATTACAGAGGAAAAAATCTAGGTGAACTTGGGTTTGTGATAAGGATTTAGATACAACACCAAAAGAATGACCCATGAAAGAAAAAAATGATAAGATGGACTGCGTTAAAATTAAAAACTTCAGCTCTGTGAAAGGAATTGTTGAGAGAATGAAGAAACGAGCCACAGACTAGGAGGAAATGTTTGCAAAACACAAATCTGATAAAGGACTTGTGTCCAAAATATACAAAGAACTCTAATTCAACCAAACGTATCCTAAGGAACCAAACAACACAATTCAAACGTGAGCAAATGATCTGAACAGACACCTCAACAAAGAAGATCGACAGATGGCAAATAAGCATATGAAAAGATGTTCAGCAGAATACATCATTAGGGAATTGCAAATTAAAACACCAACAAGATAGCACTACAAACCTATTGGAATGGCTGAAATCTAAAACATTGACAACACCAAATGCTGACAAGGATGTGGAGCAACAGGAACGTTCCTTCATTACTGGTGGAAACACAAAATGGGACAGCCACTTGGAAGACAGTTTGAGAGCTTCTTACAAAACTAAACATGGTTTTACCATACGATCCAGCATAAATGCATATTGCTAAGCGAAGGAAGCCAGTCTGAAAAGCCAACATACTCTATGATTCCAACTATATGACATTTCAGAAAAGGGACAACTATATTGACAGTAGAAAGATCAGTGGTCGCCAGGGATTCAGGGGACGGACGGGAGGGATGAATAGATGAGGCACAAGGGACCTGCAGGGTGGTGAAACTATTCTGTATGAAACTGTAATGGTGAATACATGACATGACGCACTTGTCAAAACCCCCAGAGCTCTACCTCACACAGAGTGCACCTTAACGTAAACTATGGACCCCAGTTGGTGTAAGTTAACAATAAGTTAAGAATATTGTATCAATATTGCTTCATCAAGTATAACAAATGTACCACGTTAATGCAAGGTGTTACTAAGAAGGGGAACAGGGGAATGGGGTGGGAGGATGAATATATGAAATTATGTCCTAGTTGCTCAACTCTTCTGTAAATCTAAAACTGCTCTAAAAAGAAAATCTATTATGTTTTAATTTTATTGCCAATTTTCCGAGCCTAGATCTTAACCCCATTTTCCGTATGGACACAATGTAGTCTTTGTAAGGTTTGAAGCTACACAGCGTTTTTCAGTAATGCAGCTACTGTCTGTGTAGAAGGACACAGCTGGACTTCGTCTGGTTTGGAAATCCGCCAAGACTTGGTCACCATTTCAGAAAGTCACATCACCAATAGCAAACTAACGGTCTTTGAGCGGTCAGTTCACCGCACAGCTGTATTGTGTGTGTGTCTGCAGCCCCTGCATTCACTGTGGGTTTATAAAGACGGGCCAGCATCTGACTGCTTCATTGTGCCTCATCATTAACATATTCAGACTTGTTATTTTATTACTAAATGCTTTATTTATCCTAGGTAGCACAATTAGGATATTATATTGACATTAAATTTTGTGTGTATAGATAGGTTTTATTATATGTGAATTTCATTGCAGGAGAGTAACAAAATATTCGTCATTAAAAGGATGGCTGAGTCCGACTGAGAACCCCTGCTTTCAAATGAAATGCACACTACTTATTCAGCCCTCAGGCCTGTCATAACCAGCCCAGCTGTCACAAAGTCTCTGCCCCTTCCTCCCACCATGCCTACCAAAGGGATCTATTTGTATGTCCCAGAATGTGTCGGCATTCTCACGTCCCTGATCTTGGGACGGGCTGTTCTACCCCTGAAATGCCTTTATCCTCCTTGTTCACCGCAGTGAAGTGTTCACCAAACCTCAGTGTGCTCCTCAAGCCTCAGTTCTTCACGACTTTCCTTCGAAAACTGGTGCCACAGCTGTGCCCCACCTGCAATCTCATTTCGTTCATTTTCTCTAAATGACTCAGGTCCTCATAAATAAATTTATTTTTCATTTCTATTAAATTTGTAATCAAATTTATTTTAAAGTGAAATAAAATTATTTAAAAATATTTTATTTCGGGGCTGGCCCCGTGGCTGAGTGGTTAAGTTCGCGCGCTCCGCTGCAGGCGGCCCAGTGTTTCGTTGGTTCGAATCCTGGGCGCGGACATGGCACTGCTCATCAGACCACGCTGAGGCAGCGTCCCACATGCCACAACTAGAAGAACCCACAACGAAGAATACACAACTATGTACCGGGGGGCTTTGGGGAGAAAAAAGGAAAAAATAAAAAATAAAAAAATAAAATCTTTAAAAAAAAATATTTTATTTCAACAAATTTATATTTTTAATTTACTTACTTTAATTCTAATAAATGTATCTTTTTAATTTAATTATATTTCATTTTTATTTAATTTTAATCAATTTATAAAAGTTGATTTGTTAAATTATACATAATTGTATTTTTTTAAAAGCATATATCATTATCATAAATAAGAAACTACCACGAGTAGCCCAGAAAATAAAGCAACTATAAAAACAGAGAGAAGGAACATATAAGTTATTAACCTCTATTTAGATAAAGTCGTCAGCAGAAGCCCTGAAGCCAGCTCTTTGTTGGAGAGAGAGGGAGAGAGGGAAATTAACAGGTGTTAGAAACATGTTGGCTCCTAAATGAGAATTTCCCCCTTGATATATTCCGAAGGCCTGAAAGCAAAATGAAAAGAGAATAACTTTCTCTTTCAGCGTAATTTAATGCCATCTCTGTTCTCCCTGAAACCACTTGTACATCATTAAAATCCATTTATTCACCAAGCTTTTATGACATCAAGCACCTGCTACAGACCGGGCAGTGGCACCGCACGTTTGCGATAATAAAACGCTGAACCAGCCAAGCAGTCTTTGCCCCACAGACTCACAGTCGGCTGGAGAAAAAACCACAAGTACCTGGAAATGGCCATAAAATTTCGTTACTTGTGAGAATAATTTGTGTACTTCTCCAGTATCCCCTATATGCACGGTGACAGCAGAGAACACAAATCCACTCGTAAATGACATGAGTTAGAGCAAATTAATTTCAAAATGCAATGGTTTATAATCTTATCAGTTTTTCACAGAAAAAAAGTGGGAGGTGGGTGTATCGTAATATGTTTGACGTGATATGACCTGGGACCGCCGAAAGTCTCTTTTTTTTTTTTTTTTTTCAAGCGCCGGTGGCGGGAAGGCAAGAGGCGAGGCTGGGGAGGGGCCAGCGCTCACCTCCGGGTCACCTTTTCCTCCGGAGCTTTGCTTAACCCCTCACTGCTCCGCACGCAGCTCAGCTTCACCGCCACCGGGAAGCCCGCCTGGACGCTCCAGCGGGGCCCACGCCTCCGCTGTGCGCCCCAAAGACTCGGCCCTTCTCCAGGCACCAGCTGGAGGAAAAGGGTCCGTCTGTCCGTCTGTCTTCCAGACCGGCCCAGAGGCTCCGCCAGCACGGGCATCTGGCCCTCTCCTCGGCCTCCGGAAGCGCCCAGCTCGGCGCAGCTCGCCAGGACCGCAGGCGACGGACGGTCTCTCTGGCTTCCCCGGGCGCCGGCCCCGCTCGGGTTACACCCGGGTTGGGGCTCCGCAGGCGCGCGGCGAGCAGGGCCCTCCGGGGGCTCCAGCCAGCGCGCTCTGGCACCACCTCCGAGCTAGCGGAGGGGACAGAACACCCCGCAGGTTAGTCCAGAGCTCTCGGCTGGACTCCCGCCTCTCAGCCCGCAAGGATCCGGGGCAGGCGCCCGCGGAGAGATGAGGCGGCAGGGGGACCCTCCTGAGTCAGCCACTTCTAAGCCGCACCTGGCGGCGCGAGGAGCCATGGGGTCCTGGGCTGGAGGTCAGCGGGTGTCTGACGCCTAAGTCTGGAGTCCCTGCAGGGGGAAGCGCGGAGGGGTGGTGCCACCTTCTGTCCCCACCCCGGGGGCGGAGCCAATATCTGAGCCTGCGGAGCGTGAGTCCCGCCCAAATCCGCCAGGGGCTGCTTCCCTCGCTGGCGCCAACCCCGCCTCTTCCAGGGAGACCCGACCCGCCTCCCCTTTGCCCACCGCCAGCAAGACCCAGCCTCCGGGGTCCTCCCGCCCTTGAGCCCGGCGCAGGTGCAGGGGCGGCACCGCCCTCCTGCCGCCTGGGCGCATCCCTCCGGGCGGCCATGGCACGAGGAGATGTACCGCAGGACAGGCGAGTTGGGGACCGGTGGGGTGCGTACGGGGATCCGGGTGGCCGTGGGCTACGCAGACCCGCTCCCTTTGGGCGCTCCAAAGCTCAAAGCAAACCAAATGGAACTACAGTTCCCATCAGCCGCCTCCCTCGGCTGCCTGAGCCGAGGTAATGGGGCTTGTAGTCCGCTCTCCGGAGACGGCGGCCTGGGAAGCGGGAGGGGCGGCCGAGGCGGTGCGTCCTCGGGGTGACCTTCTGACTGATCCCCACAGCTACCACTTAGTCGGGATCAGCTTCTTTATCCTGGGCCTGGGCACTCTGCTTCCCTGGAACTTCTTCATCACGGCCATCCCGGTGAGACACGAGGCTGGACAGACAGCCCCACGGCCACAGCCACCATCTCTCCCTCCAGCCGCCGTGGACTTGAGGCGTCCCAGGCGCTCTCCCCACCACGCCGGCTTTGACTCCTCATTATCCCCGTTTGTACGGCTGAAGTACGGAGCCTCAGAGAGGGGAGGCGCCCCTGGCCCGGCTAGGGGAGGCCAAGCGTTCAGGGATGCTTAGGCCTGGAGGGGCAAGGTCACCAGCTCAGGCAGCCCTGCAGAGCCAGCAAAGAGCTACCCGCCCACTACCTCTGTTTGTCACTATTGCTGGGCTGGTCACTCCAAAAGTGGGTCATCCAAGTCCTTGATTTTCTTCGAAATGGCACAGATTACATTCATTCATCCAACAGATAATGAATGTGTACCTACTGTGGACCAGACCATGTTCAGGGCACTGGAGGGACAGGAGGAAACACGACAGAGAAAGGCTCCATCCTCCGGTGGCTTATATGCTCTCAAGGGAAGGCAGAAACGTGGGGCTGTGTTCTCTTTGGGACTAGGTTATTCACATATATTCAATGCACCAGCTTTCCAGATGCCTCTCCGGTGCCTGGAGACCCAAAGATGAATCAGCGCCTGGTCTTGTGAGCAAGATGGGTGCCCAAGAGCTGTTAATAATGTGACAGGACACATGCCATCCCAAGCTTGGAGCAGAGTCTTGTGGGTTCTCAGGGGAGGGAGCAATTCCTTCTGCTTCACGGGGGGGGGGGGGGGGGGGGGGGGCAGGGCCAGAGGGGTAGGAAGGGGGAGAGCGTTTCAGGTGGAGATGACAGCCTTGTGAAGACACTGAGGCAGGGGAGTGCCAGCCTGTTCAGAGAAAGAGCCACAGCCTGGGCTGCCTGGAGCTTAGTGGGCCGGAGCAGGAGAAGGGGCGCAAAGGGAGGCGGGGGTCTGGTTCTGAAAGGCCCCAAATGCTGTTCCAGAACCTTCGGGCTTTGCCCTGCAGGCAATAGGGAGCCATGGGCAGAGGGGAGGGGGAGGTTAAGCAGAGCCTTATGCATTTCAGAGAGAATGCAGTTAGTCTGCACCTAGGCCAGAACCTGGCTTACAGTAGGCGCTCAATAAATACTTAGGAATCTAAAAGCTGCTGCAGGAGTCAGGGTGGGAGCTGGGACCAGGGCACTGAAGGGGAGGTGTGATTTAAAGATGGAGCAAGGCCCGAGTTAGGGGAGCTTAGGGCCTGGCCTCTGTCCTAGACTTCAGCTGTTCAACTCAAAGCACATTCGTGGAGAGCCGACTGTGTGCCATGTGCTGGGAGCAGTACACGGACACACAGACAGCCCCCGCAGACATTAACCAAGCAGTCCCAAGTATGAGGGAAGCCGGGGGGAAAGCTGAGGCTTCCTGAGGGGAGGTTGTAGGGTGACCTGTACCCCCTGCCCTGGCATCCTGGCAGTACTTCCAGGGGAGGCTGGCAGGGGCCAACAGCACCGCCGAGACCCTGGGCACCAACCACACGGGCCCTGCAGACGCCTTCAACTTCAACAACTGGGTGACGCTGCTGTCCCAGCTGCCACTGCTGCTCTTCACTCTCCTCAACTCCTTCCTGTACCAGTGGTGAGAGGCCCCACCCTTGAGCTCCCTCCAGGCCATCCCTCTGTTGTCCCTCACCAGCCCCTGCTGAGGCAGCTCCCTCCCAGCCCAGGGAAGTCCTCCTGTCTTTCCTCTGCTCCCCCTGCACCTCCCCCCAGCCCCCACTGTCCTGCCCTGGGCTGACCCTCTGGCCCACATCCCCCTGCCCGGCCTGGGCCCAGCCGATACCCACTCTGCCCCGCTGTGAGCAGCATCCCTGAGACGGTCCGGATTCTGGGCAGCCTGCTGGTCATCCTGCTGCTCTTTACCCTGACGGCGGCGTTGGTCAAGGTGGACGTGAGCCCTGGGCCCTTCTTCTCCATCACCATGGCCTCCGTCTGGTTCATCAACTGTGAGCTCCACCGCCCCTCCCCATTCCCCACCCCACCCACCCAGGCCTTCAGCCCAGCCTCTTCTTTGTAACTAAATGGGCCCAACATATCCAAGAAGGAAGACAGCAGCAGCATCACTCATATCCCTGGTGAGAAACAGGCCCATAGGGAGAGGAAAAGTCACTTGTCCCAGGCCCCACAGTGACCTAAGAGCAGGCCTCCTGGCCCCACAGACCTATGGCTGCACCTCAGAAGAAGAGTCAGTGAGGAGTGTTACACCAGAGTGCCCGGACCTAATCCAGAGTCCCCTGTGCACCCCGCCGACACCTCCTCCTGAGGCCTGCCTAGTGGAGCGGCGACCCCACTCTTGTCCCTCTACAGCTTTCTGTGCAGTTCTGCAGGGCAGCCTCTTCGGGCAGCTGGGCACCATGCCTTCCACCTACAGCACCCTCTTTCTCAGCGGCCAGGGCCTGGCTGGGATCTTCGCTGCCCTTGCCATGCTCATGTCCATGGCCAGTGAGTGGATTTGGGTGGCTGGAGGGCAGGGGTGGCCTCAGGGAGTCTGGGGTGCAGAGGGGGTGTGCCAGGAGTGAGCCGCCTTGGGTTCTAGGTGGGGACGGAGGTGACGGGGTGATGGGGAGCTGGGGATTGAGTTTGGGGTAGGGAGCAGGACTCCTGGGTTCTACAGTGAGAGAATGACCGGGTGAGGACTGGGTTAACTTGGGGCCTGGGGCAGGATTTCTGAGGCCAGCACTCGAATGTGGCAGCAAATTGAAGTTGAAGGAAGGGGGGACGGGTTTGGGATTCAGAGGACCTGGGGTCTGAATCCCGGTTCCACTGCTCCCAGCTGGGGGCATTAACAAGACACTTAACGTGTGTCGGTTTCCCCACCTAAATGATTACCGTAGCTCCATCCTCACATTGTAAGAAGCGTGCAGTAATAATGAGCAAGTAGTAGGTGCTCAACAAAAATAACACGTAGGGCAGAGGGAGAGAAGTGAAGGGCTGGGCTGGGACTCTGCACAAGATTCCCGAGTGTGTCAGTGAGAGGAGTGGAAGAGGCCAGAGGGCGAACCTGAGAAGTGCTTCATGGGTGGTGGGACAGGAGTCGTCAGCCCTGTGGGAGCCTGCGGGACCAGCCACTTCCCGCTGCAGCTGAAGTTTCTGCACAGGTGGCGTGGATGCCCAGACCTCCGCCCTGGGGTACTTCATCACGCCCTGCGTGGGCATCCTCATGTCCATCGTGTGTTACCTGAGCCTGCCTCACCTGGTGAGCCTGGTACTGGGCTCAAGGGCCCACTTCAGAGCATCTCAGATACAGCCTGAGTCTGAGGCCCCGAGAGAGGCCAGGGGAGGCGGAGGGCACCTGGGCCCCGTCCTAATCCCCAAAGGAGTCAGCCACTGGGGGACCCCAGCCTCTTAGCCACCAGGATGGGAAGGGATCCAGACACCTCAGCCAAGCCAGGCAGGGCCAACACTTTCTTTCTGCAGGAGTTTGCCCGCTACTACCTGGCCAAGGAACCATCGAAGGCTCAAGGTCAGGAGCTGGAGACCAAAGCTGAGCTCCTCCATTCTGGTGAGCCCGGGACCCTGCTGGGGAGGTGAAACCCAGAAGAGGCTAGAGCCACCTCAGCAGGAAAGCATTGCCCCTCTGTCCCCAGCTAAAGCCCTCACCCCTAGTAGCTTTATATGAGCAGAGGCAGAAGGGAAGGGTGGTCAGTGGGATCAAAGTTGTCCCTGTCGCCTCAGTTTGGGCCTCAGTTTCCACCTCTATAAAATGGAGAGGCAGGGAGCTGGCCTGGTGGTATAGTGGTTAAGTTCGTGACCTACACACTGCTCATCAAGCCATGCTGTGGCAGCATCCCACATACAAAAAATAGAGGAAGATTGGCAACACATGTTAGCTAAGGGCCAATCTTGCTCACCAAAAAACAAAAAAAAAAGGGAGGCAGTAGAGCTTCAGGCATGCAAGTTCTGGATTCAAATGCATCTGAGTTTGAATCCTGGCTTCACAACATCCAAGCTGTGTGACCTTAGGCAAAGTCACTTAACCCCTCTGAGCCTCAGTTTCTTTATTTGTAAAGCAATGGCACTGAGATATTCCATGTAAGGTGCTTAAGTCCGCCTGGCACATGTGTGTGCTTAATAAATAGTAGCGAAGCCGATTTCCGTTATTAATTCTCTTTGCCCCCACCTTGGGCTGTGGCGGTGCGGGGTGCGGGGGTGGTCACTTGTTGTAACTGCCGGGAACCTCCCTCCCTGGGGCCTGGCTGGCACACGCATGAGTCACAGGCATGATCCCGCCCTCCTCTCTTGCTCCAGATGAGAAGGACGGGATTCCCAACAGCCCCCTGACTCTGGATCTTGACTCTGAGAAGGAGCCAGAGTTGGAGCCAGAGGAGCCACAACAGCCAGGAAAACCTTCAGTTTTCGTTGTCTTCCGAAAGGTCTGGCTTGGCTCTAGCCCTCAACCGCCACCCCTGGGGCAGAGGGAGCCACTCTCTCCAGCTCTCCCCAGGGACTCTTAGATGGAAGGGGTCTTCGTTCTCACCTTGTCCACCCCAAGGTGACAGGGTCATAGTGGGTTGGGGACACAGCTGGGCCAGGCTCCCGGGGTCCTGGGAGGTCCCGAGGGCTGGGGCTGAGCATGGGGCCCCAGGTCTGCCCCGCCGGCTCACGTCCCTGCGTCTGGCTCCCAGATCTGGCTGACGGCGCTGTGCCTTGTGTTGGTCTTCACAGTCACCCTGTCTGTCTTCCCGGCCATCACAGCCATGGTGACCAGCTCCACCAGTCCTGGGAAGTGGAGTGAGTGACGGGAAGCGGAAGAGGGCAGGGCGGAGGGTGTGCCGGGGAGAGAGGGAGGAGGGGAGTCCGCCCCAGGACAAGCCCTCCCTCTCTCCCAGGTCAGTTCTTCAACCCCGTCTGCTGCTTCCTTCTCTTCAACGTCATGGACTGGCTGGGACGGAGCCTGACCTCCTACTTCCTGTGGGTGAGGGCACCAAGGCTGCGGTGATCTGACAGTTTTAGGAAGCAGTCAGGGATCAGAGGGGGTGAAAGAGCACAGAAAGGCGATTTCCCAACAGTCCAACTGGTTGGGTCTGGCAATGGAACAGCAGGCCAAGTGGCGGTGAGCACCTGGCCCCTGGAGGGATGCAAGCCAGGGCTTGACTGTGAGCCCCTTGAAAGCAGAAGCCATGTCCAATTGACCTGTGTCCCCAGCATCCAGCCCAGGGCCCAGCCTCGGTGCTCACAGACTCTCACGTGGAGGTTCCTGCACCACATGAGAGGTTGGGCAAGATTCCTAGTGTTTGGGTTGCTTTTAGCCAAGGTGCTGCTTCTTTAAATGAAAGCTTCCAGGGAGACACAACAAATAAAGTAGATCAAAGAGGAGCTGCTCTGATCCAAGCCAGGATGGGCCTGGATCCCCAGCTTCCAATCCCCTTCAGCAACCCCGTCTGTTCCAAAGGGGTCTGTGGAACCCCCAGGGGTGCTCGGAGGAACTGAGTTTGAAAACCAAACTCCTCTCCCAGTTCTGCCATGGGGAGAGCACAGGCTGATGCTCAGGAGAGGCAGAGGCTGGCCCCAGGCCGGTCCTCGATTGCTGGGTGGCCTTGGCCCAGCCCCTCGCTCTCCAGAGGCCCAAGTGCTGGTCCTCGGCGGCTCATGTAGGGTAGGTCAGGGGAAGTGGTGAGTGAATCTATCGGGGCGCCCCTGGAGCACAGAGACCCCGCTGCCAGGGACCACCCTCACCCCAGCTTCTGCCGCAGCCGGACGAGGACAGCCGGCTGCTGCCCCTGCTGGTCTGCCTGCGTGTCCTGTTTGTGCCGCTCTTCATGCTGTGCCACGTGCCCAAGAGGTCCCGGCTGCCCATCCTCTTCCCACAGGACGCCTATTTCATCACTTTCATGCTGCTCTTTGCCGTTTCCAATGGTTACCTGATGTCCCTCACCATGTGCCTGGCACCCAGGTCTGGGGGCTGGTGGGGGAGGGCGGGGGGGAAGGGAAGTGGGCCAGCCTGCAAGGGAGGGCCCACCCTGCTTCTGGCCAGCCCAGCCCTAGCTGCTCCAAGTCTCGCTGGCGCCACCCTGTCAGGTCAGGTCTCAACTGCTGAGCCGACCCCAGGCCAGCAGCTGGGGAGCGGAAGCCTCAACAGGGGAGGTTCCTGCCTACTGTAGTAGCCCACATTCTGGGGGCTCCTCTCTGGGCCTCAGTTTCCCCATCCATGAAATAAGTGGGTTGGACTGTCATTCCTAAGGGCCCAGTTACTCCCCAAATTCTCAGTTGAGGGGAAGTTAAGGTTTTAATCCAAAGCAAAGTTTATGAGCTATCTACTCCAGGGACAATGGAGTTGAAAATCCAGGGAGAGTAAAGGTGACAGGGAGGACCAGGTTGGGGACATTTTGTCAAGAGGGAGGGCAGTGGAATCTAGAGTCAGATGGTACTGGACCCCAGGGGCCTGAGACATGTCCTTGTCCAGTGGCCTCGTTTTACAGATCAGGAAACGGAAGTCCAGAGAGAAGGGCCTAACTATAGTGACCCAGAGGCTGGGCCAGCCCAGACGATAACTCAGGCGTCCTGTTGTAAGGAGGGCAGACGGCGCCGGGGCTGGGGCCAGGTCTGGCTCGGCATTTTCTAAGAGCTCCTACTCCTGTGTGTTCTAGGCAGGTGCTGCCACATGAGAAGGAGGTGGCCGGCACCCTCATGACCTTCTTCCTGGCCCTGGGGCTCTCCTGTGGGGCCGCTCTCTCCTTCCTCTTCAAGGCGCTGCTCTGAAGTGCTCCGTCCACAGCTCTCCCAGCAGCTCTCTTCTCGCTGCCCCCTTTGGAGCTGAGACCCAGCGCAGGGGGCAAGGCGAGCCGGGCTCAAGCCCCTGCTGGGCTGAGGCCCCTTGGTCTGGGGGTGCCAGGAGGAGGCGGGCGCTGCTCTCCTTCCTGGGCTGGCAGTCATTTAGGGTGCTACAAGGAGGAATTCACCACCCGTCATTCCAACCCTCACCCAGGAACGGAGCTGACACAGACAGACTATCTGGATGTGCATAAGACCTCACTGACAGGGTGCTGATCAGGGAAAAGAGGGCCGGGGACCATGGCCCTTCCTCACCGTCAGGAGTGCGTTTGTTAATCACAAGAAACCCACCTGCTAATCGCCAGGGATCAGAGGCCACCAGCGGAGCCTTGCCGAGGGTGTGGCTGGTGTGGCCCCAGCCTCAGGTTCAGAGTGGAGTGAGGGCCAGCCCAGAGAAGGAGCTCCTCTTCTCCCCAGGCCTCAGCAATCTCACAATCGAGTCCCTCGGACCTCAGGACAGAGGCTGCCGGGGCAGTTGAGGGAGCATGGAGAAGGAACAGGTGTTAGGGGTTTGAGGGTGCTCAAAGGACCCTCTGGGCCTCCAACAGTGTTTTCATTGTCAACACTTCCTGTCTCCGCTCCCCAGAGTCCAGCTGGGCCTGGGTCCGGGAACCGCAGTTGGCCTGCATGTGTGCACTGCACTTCACAGTGTGTAAAGCTCTTCCACACCCGCTTTCTCACCAAAGCCACATTGAGGCCCTTGGAGGGAAACAGGCAGGGACTGTGCTCCCCCTTTGTACAGGTGAGGAAACCGAGTCCCAGGGGAAAGTGACTGGTTCGTGGCAGAGCCAGGAGCCAGCCCCCCACTTCCCCGCCCCCCCAGTAGGTGCTGCTGTTCACCTGCTTCTCTTTTCCTTCTTGCTGTTTCTCCCTCTGACCCCGCTCCTGGGTCTAATAACAACCTTCTTCATTTGTATCATGAATTCGCTGAGTCTTTATTTCCAAAGTGCTTTCAGCTCTATTGGCTTTGATGAGCTGGGCGGGGTGGGAAGACGGTACCCATTTGACTGACGGGATGCCTGAAGCCCTGAGAGGGGCAGAGATTCATGGGCATCCCTGTGCTGGGCCCTCTCTACCACGTGATGGCCAAGGGGTACTGGCTGCAAGGAGCCCTGTGCTCCTGGGCAGAGCACCTGGCTACATGGACGAATGTGGCTCTCCCTTCCACCGGCGTCCTCTGCCTCCCCAGACACCCCCTCCCCTCCCTCCATTCTGAGAAACAGAGCCTCAGAGGCAGTGAGCCAGTTCTCCGGAAGGATGGAGGAAAGGCCTGCTTCCCCCACACACCTGTGCATCCTACCCAGCCCAGAGGAGAGCGAGGGTCTTTTGCTATTATAGGCACCGGCCTTTCTGCCCACTTGCCCCCTGCCTTCTGTGAACACTCACTGAGCAGCTGTTTTATACCAGGCACTGGGCCAGCACAGGGCCCCTGCTCAGAAACCAGGGGTTGTTTTGCTGTCAAAGAGGAAAGTGAAGCAAGAGATGACCTTGGTAGCAGAAATAAAGCCACAGGGCAGACCCCAAGTGAGGATTCATTCCTTTGACCACTATTCACTGTGCCAGACCCTAGCTGGTCTGGTGACCCTGAAACAAAGGACATGTGGTCCCTGCTCCCAAGGCCACAGGAAGAAGAATGTAACTTGTGATGGGGCTTGTGAGGGCCCTACAGAAGTGAGTAATATAAGACTCCAGAGGAGGGGGCCGTTGATCCCACTTGGAAGTCAGGGCAGGCATCCTGGAGGAGGTGTCTCCCCAGCTGGGCCTTGAGGGGTGAATATGAGTTTGCTGGGCTGAGGTCGGGGAGGAACATCCCAGTCAGAGGTATTAGAGAGTGTGGAAGGCATGGATATGGATTATTCAGGAAACAGTGGGGACTGCTCGTTGCAGGGGGGCGGTGAATCCCTAGGGTGTGAGAGGAGAGGAGAGGATGAAGCTGGAGCAGTGGGTTGGGGACAAATGATGAAGGGCCTCAGTGATTAGAGAGAGGAGAGGGATACAGGAGAGAAGAGGGCAGCTGCCTCTACAGAGGCCATTTAACATGGTGCTTAAGCGTATGTGCGCTGACCCAGAGTCCTGGGTTCAAGGCCAGGCCGTTTCATTTACAAGCAGTGGGAACTGGGACATGCCCAAGTCTGGGGTCCTGGAGAGAGGTCGGGGCTGGAGCACAGACTGACATTTCCTAATGGGTAGTTGTAGTCCTGGGAGTATCTTGCACAGACCACAAGGCCCAGCTGCACCCTTTGACGGAGACTGGTGGGGCAGGACCCCAACACCTCCTGGGTCTTCTCTTTCTCCACCTTCAGAGACTGTTGTCTCTGGTACCCAAAAGCCCCCTAGACCTGCCAGACCTCCCCTCGCAAACCAGGCAACAGTCCGGGGAACCCATCAGTGCTGGTCCATGGTCATCTGAAGCAGGCCCAGGTTGGGGTGAGCAGTGAAGGATGAGCCCAGAAAGAGGACACTCACTCATCAGATGTCCTTATGATGTCACAAGCTCAATTTCCTTCTTCCCATCCTCCTTTGGAGTAGATCTGCCCACCTTTCCCATCACATCAGAATGTAACTGGCTTTTTATGTTAGAAATAATCCTTGGGCTGATGGGCCACACCTGCCCGTCCCTCACCGGACGCCCAGTTCCCTGGCCACTGCCACCTCTCCAGCCTGACACAGCTCTGCCAGTAGGCCCGGGTTCCCTCAGAAGCAGCCAGTTTCCATCAGCAAACACTTGGAGAGGGCTCTGGGTGGAGGGCACTGAGACAGGCTCGGTGGAGGGACACCAACATTTGAAGGCCAGTCCTTACCTTCAAGTTGCTCACCCTTTTATGAGGAGGCCTCCTGGTTTGTAAATTGATTCAACTCTCCAATTAAAAAGGCAGAGAGTGTCAGAATGGATTAAAAATAAATTCAACCACATGCTCTCTACAAGAAACTCACTTTACAGCCCAAAATACAAATAGGTTGAAAGTGAAAACATGAAAAAAGATATTCCGTGCAAACAGTGACCAAAAGACAGTTGGGGTGGATATACTGATATCGGACAAAATAGACAAAACGTCAAAAATCATTTGAGAGACAAAGAAAGATGTTATATATTCATAAAAGGGTAAATCCATCAAGAAGATATAATAGTTACAAACATATACATGCCTAACAACAAAGTCCTAAAAATTCTGAAGCAAAAATGGACAAAATTGAAGGAGAAATAGACATTTCTATAATAACCGCTGGAGACTTCAATATCCCACTTTCTTCTATGAGATTTTTTTTTTTTTGGAGGAAGATTAGCCCTGAGCTAACTACTGCCAGTCCTCCTCTTTTTTTCTGAGGAAGACTGGCCCTGAGCTAACATCCATGCCTATCTTCCTCTACTTTATATGTGGGATGCCTACCACAGCATGGCGTGCCAAGCAGCGCCATGTCCACACCTGGGATCTGAACCAGCAAACCCCGGGCCGCCGAGAAGCGGAACGTGCGAACTTAACCGCTGCGCCACCAGGCTGGCCCCCTCCAATATCCCACTTTCAATAAAAGATAGAACAACTAGACAGAAAAGATCAATAAGAAAATAGAGAAGTTGAACATTCTAGAAACCAACTAGGCCAAGGGGACATACACAGAATACTCCATCTAAAAACAGCAGAATATACCTTCTCAAGTGCACATGAAACATTCTCCAGGATAGATCATAAACAAAGCTGCAATAAATTTTAAAAGATTGAAATCATACAAAGTATCTTTTCCAATCACAATGGAATAAAACGAGAAATCAAAACAGAAGAAAAACTGGAAACTTCACAAGTATGTGGAAATTAAACACAAACAACTAAAGGGCTAAAAAGAAAATCAAAAGAGGAATTAGAAAATACTTTCAGATAAATGAAAATGACAACACAGCATAATAAAATTCATGAGACACAGCGAAAGAAGCATAGAGAGGAAATGTATAGCTCTAAATGCCTATGTTAAAAAGGAAGAAGAATCTAGAAAAACAAGAGCGGATTAAACCCAAAGCGAGTAGAAGGAAGGAGATGATAAAGACCAGAGTGGAGTGGCTGGCCCTATGGCTCAGTGGTTAAGGTCATGAGCTTTGCTTCGGCGGCCCAGGGTTTCACCGGTTCGTAATCCTGGGCGCGGACGTGGCACCGCTCATCAGGCCATGCTGAGGCAGTGTCCCACAGAGCACAACCATAGGGACCTGCAACTAGAATATACGACGGGAGGGGCTTTGGAAAGAAGAGGAAGAAAAAAAAAAGAAGATTAGCAACAGATGTTAGTTCAGGTGCCAACCTTTAAAATAAAATAAATTTTAAAAAAGACTTCAAAATTACTAAAATCAGAAATGAACGTGGGGCCATTACTATGGATTATACAGAAACAAAAAGGATTGTAAGAGAAAACTATGAATAACTGTACACCAACAAATGAGAAACCCAGATGAAATGGACAAATTCCTAGAAACACACAAACTACCAAAACTGACTCAAAAAGAAATAGGAAATCTGAAGATACCTATGACAAGTAACAAGACTGAATCAGTAACAAAGAAAATTCCAGGACCGGATGACTTCACAGGCTAGTTCTACCAGTCATTTAAAGAAGAATTAACTCCAATCCTTCTCAAACTCTTCCCAAAGAGGCAGGAGCACTTCCTAACTCATTCTATGCAGCCAGCATGACCCTGGTGCCAAAGCCAGATAAAGACATCGCAAGAAAGGAAAACTACGGACCAATATCCCCTATGAATATAGATGCAAAAATTCTCAATAAAATACTAGCAAACTGAACCCAGCAGCATATTAAAAGAATTATACACCATGACCAAGTGGGATTTACTCCAGAATGCAAGGTGGTTCAACATACAAAAATCAATCAAGATAAAACATCACATTAACAGACTGAAAGGGAAAAACCACATGACCATCTCAGTTGATGCAGAAAAAGCATCTGACAAAATCCAACACCGTTTCAAGATAAAACATTCAATAAATAAGGACTAGATGGGAACTTCCTTGACCTTATAAAGGGCATTTAGGAAAAATCCACAATTAACATCACACTCAATGGGGAAAGACTGAAAGCCTTCCCCGTTAAGACCTGGAAAAAGACACGGGTGCCGCTTCCACCATTTCATCTATTCAACTTTGTGCTGGAAGTTCCAGCCAGAGCAATTTGTCATGGAAGAGAAATAAAAGGCATCCAAATTGGAAAGGAAGAAGTAAAACGATCTGATTCATAGATGATATTATATATATATATATATATATATATATATATATATACAGACAATCCTAAGGAATACACACACACGCGCAAACTATTAGAGCTAATAAACAAATTCAGCAAAGTTGCAAGATTCAAGATCAACACACAAAATTCAGTTGTATTTCTATACATATGATTCTGACACCAATTCTGATGTGTGGATTTTTTTCCCCACACCAAGCAATTCTCTGACACCGAGTGTCCTACAGTGCACCTCAATTCTGACACTATCTACCTGGAGATAGTGTCAGATTCCACAAGCTAAGGGCTCAGGTCCACAAAACTGCCCCCACTTCAGATGCCAATCACAAGTCCAGGTTGTTACCTATACTTCTGACCGACTGGCTATAAATCAGAGGTTCCAGTGAACCCTTCCTCAGGTTCCATTAATTTGCGAGACAGCTCACAGCACTCAGAGAAAACTTTTATTTACCGGATAACAGGTTTATTATAAAAGGACACAATTCAGGAACAGCCAAACAGAAGAGATGCATAGGGAAAGGTATGTGGGAAGCAGACCCCTTGATAACATTTTTTTTAACTCTGGTCTTTGAATATCTCCTGTCGCGCTCCATCCCAGCCACTCCCTCTCCCCAGCCAGGCCTCTCTGCCCACAAGAGCAGGCTTTTGGCTTTCCTCTGGGCCTTTCACGCGAAAGGCCATCAAGGCTTTCCTTGATCTTGACACCCCCCCACCCCCCAGGTCCAGCCACTACTTTTCAGTCTCCCCTTAGACTAGGGCCCCTGGGGACACTTCAGAAGCTTCATATTTACTCACTCAACAAACATGTCTTGATTCCTGCTACGTGGCTAGCAGTGTAGTGGGCGGGGGCAATGTGGGCAGACACCCGGAGAAATCTTCAGTCCAGGTAGTAAATGGGTATTGTGTGAGCACCGCAGATGCAACGCAAACGTTCAAAGGACCGAGGTGGACAGGGAAGGGGAAGGGCTGAGACTTCAGCAAAGAGGAGGCTGTTTGCAAAGGGAGAGCCACCTTTACACTCTGGCCGATTGTCACACCATGGGAATGCCAGCCTGGCATTGCTAGATCGTCCAGAATTTAAAACAGAAGTTGGAAATGTGAATTTTATGTGAAATCTTCTGATTTACCAAAGTTAACAACTAATGTGATTCAAATTGTTGTTTCTAAACACTGAGCAGGCCAAAGAAAACCCATATGCACTAAACCTGGCTGCTCAGCCTCCCGTGGCAAGGCGTGTGAAGGGGTCCACACTTACCTTTCTCCTTTCTCCTGTCACAGGTCACCAGGGAAAACCTTCAAGGACAGTACCTGTGTCTCCTGCAAGGTCCACCCCAGTGCCTAGCACCCTGGTGCCTAACACAGCCTCTGGGGTGGAGCAGGCGCTCAGCAGGTGGTGGTGTTCAGGGATGCAGAATATGGATGCCCTGGTCACTCTTCAACGCAACAACCCGGGCTCCCTACTGCCCGTGGAATAGCGGGCAAACCCCTTCTCCTGGCATCCGCGGCCCTCCTCCGTCTGTCCCAAAGCACCTTCCCAAGATTCACAGCGCTCCAGTAGTTATCACATATAGTATAAGTATGTGTGTGTGTCGGGGAGGGAGGTGTGTGGATACAAGGTCTCCGCCCTGGAAGAAGTGCTGGGGGGAGGGGAATCAGTGGGCTGAACAGAGTTATGATTTAAACCATCAAACGCCACCACCGCCGCCACCCCCAAGTTCTACCACTTCAGATAGGGAGGGCGGCACCTTCGGGGGCTTCACTAAATCCTGCAGTTAATATATTGGCCCCCAATTAGGCATTGGCCGGAATTCTGGTTCTGGTCTTCTAGGTGCCACCCAATCGTTGACCCTCTTCCTAGGGAGAAAGAAAAGCGCATCCCTGCACTCCGCCCAGGAGGTTCAGACACCTGGATCCCGAAGGGGCCAGCAACGTGCGGTGAACAAAGAGGAGAAAGAGCCCCAGGCTGGGACGAATTGCGTCCTATCCTCAGGGCCGTGCTCTTCAACCTGCAGCTCCGGAGAGGCGGCACGCGGAAAATTAAGACGGATCTCCCGCGTAAAACACGACCGACGAGGATGGGATTCGAACCCACGCGTGCAAAGCACAATGGATTAGCAGTCCATCGCCTTAACCACTCGGCCACCTCGTCCCATGTACAGCACCCCTTTCCACATTCCTTTATCTCTCATCTCCTCCGCACCTTCCCGGACTCTGATACCCACTCTTCAGAGCAGACCTCGTAGGACCTAGAGGAGGGGGAGACCACAGCAAGAAAGGGACTTTTGTGTTCCCTTCCGCCCGCCGCAGCCGGGAACCCGCGCCATCCTTCCCCAAGCCGCAGCCGAGGTCTGGCAAGGTTTCCCCTCCCTGAGCCGGGGGCGAGCTCGCCGGGGTTTCAGGACGCGCTTGGTCCAGGGGGTCGCGCACTGCCTGGGAGAGAGGGGGCTGCGTCCCTGGGAGCCCCGCAGGCGCGGCGGCGCGGCCGCGAGCAGTTTCAGAGTTTGCAAAGCGCGCGGCGCGGGCGACGGGTGCAGTAGCTCCTCCTCGCGCGCAGGGGGCGCGCTGGCGCGCGGAGGCCTGCGCGGGCGGGCGGGGCTGCGCGCGGGGCTCGGCTCGCCTCGGCTCGCCTCGGCCGCGCTCGGCAGGCTGCGGTAAATCCGGGCTTGCGGCTGCTGTCGGAGCCTGCGGTCCGGTGGTCCCTGCTGCGCGCCTCGCGCCCCGAGAGCCATGCAGATGTCCTACGCCATCCGGTGCGCCTTCTACCAGCTGCTGCTGGCCGCGCTAATGCTGGTGGCGATGCTGCAGCTGCTCTACCTTTCGCTGCTATCCGGGCTACACGGGCAGGAGGAGCAGGACCAGTATTTCGAGTTCTTCCCCCCATCCCCGCGGTCCGTGGACCAGGTCAAGGCGCAGCTCCGCACCGCGCTGGCCTCCGGAGGCGTCCTCGACGCCAGCGGCGACTACCGCGTCTACAGGGGCCTACTGAAGACCACCATGGACCCCAACGATGTGATCCTGGCCACGCACGCCAGCGTGGACAACCTGCTGCACCTGTCCGGCCTATTGGAGCGCTGGGAGGGCCCGCTATCCGTGTCGGTGTTCGCGGCCACCAAGGAGGAGGCGCAGCTGGCCACGGTGCTGACCTACGCGCTGAGCAGCCACTGCCCCGATATGCGCGCCAGGGTTGCCATGCACCTCGTGTGCCCCTCGCGCTATGAGGCCGCCGTGCCCGACCCCAGGGAGCCGGGAGAGTTTGCCCTGTTGCGGTCCTGCCAGGAAGTCTTTGACAAGCTAGCCAGGGTGGCCCAGCCCGGGATCAATTACGCGTTGGGCACCAATGTCTCGTATCCCAATAACCTGCTGAGGAATCTGGCTCGTGAGGGGGCCAACTATGCCCTGGTTATCGATGTGGACATGGTGCCCAGCGAGGGGCTGTGGAGAGGCCTGCGGGAAATGCTGGATCAGAGCAAGCAGTGGGCGGGCACCGCGCTGGTGGTGCCTGCCTTCGAGATCCGCCGAGCCCGGCGCATGCCCACGGACAAGAATGAGCTGCTGCAGCTGTACCAGGTGGGCGAGGTGCGGCCCTTCTATTATGGGCTGTGCACGCCCTGCCAGGCGCCCACCAACTACTCCCGCTGGGTCAACCTGCCAGAAGAGACCTTGCTGAGGCCTGCCTACGTAGTCCCCTGGCAGGACCCCTGGGAGCCATTCTACGTGGCCGGAGGCAAGGTGCCCACGTTCGACGAGCGCTTTCGGCAGTACGGCTTCAATCGCATCAGCCAGGTGCTCGGAGGGAAAAGGACAGGGGAAATGGGGCAGGAGGGGTGGTGGTGGCATCGGGGAGCTATGAGCGGCCCTGAATGGAAAGGAGGCAATGAGGCAGGAGGGATCATAGTTCAGGAGGTGGTTGGATGGTGTGGAAGATCCCTGATGCCTCCAGAGGAGTGGGGATGCTGGCGTGCGGCTTTAGGGATGTTAGCCTCGGCCCAGGAATGTCAACAAACTCTGCTGACCTGTCTCTCCCCCTACAGGCCTGTGAGCTGCACGTGGCAGGATTTGATTTCGAGGTGCTGAACGAAGGTTTCCTGGTTCATAAGGGCTTCAAAGAAGCCTTGAAGTTCCATCCCCAAAAGGAAGCCGAAAATCAGCACAATAAGATCCTTTACCGCCAGTTCAAACAGGAGTTGAAGGCCAAGTACCCCGACTCCCCCCGTCACTGCTGAGCCCTTCTCTCCCCAAGTCTGAGAAGTCAGCTTCCTCCCTTCTCAGGCCACCCCGCAGGCCTGACAGGGGTAAGAACTGTCACTCCACTTTACAGCGGTAGCTGTGGTGTTGGAACACTGGACTTGAATGGACTTGAATATGGGGCGCTGGGATCAAGTCCTAGCTTTACCACTAACTAGCTGTGTGGCCTTGAGCAAATCCCGTTCCCTCTCTGAGCCTCAGTTACCCCGTCTGTAAAAAGGGAGGTGAGAATATCTACCTCACAGAACTGTTGGGAGGCTCAGATGAGATGCTATATGTGAAAACATTCTGTAAGCTTCGTACAAATGTGAAGTATTATTAATATTCTTACAGTATTATTATTGTTGTTATTATTGTTATTACAATATTATTAACAGTCTTGGGTGGGTGGGCAGTAGGAGAGCAAAGAGTATGAATGGGGCAGAGCTAGAAGTCTGAGTGCTTAACAAAATGGACTTTTTGGAAAGAAATCAGATGAAGGCATTGAATTTAGTTCTTAGCTTTTGGGCAGGAGCCTAAACTAGCTGGTCCTCCCAGGCTTCCGTCCCCTGGGGCTCTGGAAAAGGGAAGGGTCTGCAGGCTGTGTGTGTGTGATTGTCACAGATCTCTAACCCTCGAATAGGCTGGGCTGGGTTATTTGCCTGCCAATGACAATATGTAAATAAATGAGTGTTCACACCTACAGCTGGCTCCATTACTCTCCTGGACCTGGAGGGTGGGGAGGTTCCAGGTTCTCTCCTTTCACGCCGCGGGGCTGGCGGCCGCGGACCCAGGACCGCCGGCAACAAAGCGAGGAAACCACAAGGGCCTTTCCCGCCGGCTGAAGGCCTACGTGAATTTCGGCCGGTTGCTATGGAGACCGGCCCGCAGTATCCCAGCATGCCTCGCCCCCAGCTGTCCAATTATGAGCTCCCCCAACTGGCGCCTACTGATGACGTATGCGGAAGCGCGGGCAGGCCCCGCCCCCCGGAGAAGAGGGACCGGCGCAGCGCTTCCGGGAGCCCGGGGGCTGTGGCCAATACCGGTAGCCCGAGGGACCTCTCTGGGAGTCTCGGACGTGAAGCCGGAGGCCCCACTCTCCGCGGTGCGTAACGCCACCCCTGGCGCCTGGTTTGGCATCTTCAGTCAGTCTGTCGTAGCCGGCCCGATCTTTAGGGCCGAAGGGGAGACTTAACCGGCAGGATGCGTGCGGGGCCGCGGGGCCGCAGCTGGCCGCGAAAAAGCCAGTGGCGGGAGGCTTCGGGCGCGCCGCGGAGGGGCTGTGTTGGCCTCTTCGAGGGTGGGGAAGAATCTGTCTTCTATGGAGGCCTGCTCTTTCTGAAAAGATATATGTGCACGACGCCTTACAATTTACTTTTCCATCCCTTACCCTTTGCAATCTTTACAGCACTCAGTGGCAGTGATTGTCCTCTTTTTGCACCCTGGGTAAGGAGGGGGGCGGGGTTGTGATTTAATTTAGCTTATTCTGCAGAATCCGCGACTGCTGGAGAGACCCCCCGCCTCCCCCCGCCGCCCTTTCTGGTCCCGAAAGGTAGGGCTTAAGTTGCGTCTTTCAAAGTAAATATACTTAACGGTGAAGAGGAATTGCAAAATTTGGGGACGGCAAGCACTGAGGCTTGAGAATGGGAAAGATAAGGCTGGTTTGGAGAACAGGGTTTTCAGGTCAGGTTCAAATCATTTGTGAAATCACTGAGGCATGTGACTAAGTTGTTCTCTAGGCCAGATATTTACACAGTTCGAATGGTGTCAGGGAAAGTTAACAGAACACTTTGGGTTTGCTACCACTACAGGGGCCTGGGGTTACCAAGAAGTAAAAGCCAATCCCTGCACCACAAAAGTTTATTTTGTTTAATTTGTATTTGTAAATCCTCCAGTCACCAAGGGAGTCAGTACTGTGTTAGGTGAATAAGGCGCATGCGCAGCCCTGCCCTGGGGAGGCTTAGAGAATAGTTGGGGAGACAGACATGCGAACAGACAAATAGGAGATGTAAGCAAATAAGGCTTCCTGGAGGGAGTGGTGTCTACACTGATCTGAAGGACGACAAAGGAGTGCCCAGAGAGGTTGGAAAAACGTCACTGTGGAATAGAAGACCCCAATAAGCAGAGAGATGATCTGTTAAGAGGACTGTTTCGTCTGCCTCTTCGGTGATCTCTTGGCAGCATTTGGCACTGTCACTGCTGCATCCTGAAATTCTCTCTCCCATGACTTTGGGTTTTTCCTTCTCCACCTCTTGCTAATTCCCTTCTTCTTTGCAGAGGTCTCATCATCTGTCCCTTTGGTGACCCTGGGAGTTCCATCTTGGACCTCTTCTCACTCCACACATTCTGCCTTGCTGGTTTCACCCTCTCTCGAGACCTGAAGAACTCGCTAGCGGCTGATGACCAGATTTCTGAGCCCGGATTTCTCTCTGAGGCTTAGATCCGTGTGGCCCCAACTCTGCCCCTTCTCTCATTTTGGGGTCTTTGTACCTGCTGCTTATTCTGCCTGGAATGTTCCTTCCCTCAACTAGCTCATCTGTCTGGCCCACCTTCCCCTGCAAGCCCTCTCTGCTGCGGCCAGCTCCAGATTTCAGTTAGACGCCTCTCCCATCTGCCTCCAGTCTCAACTCTTCTCACACCACAGGAGTGCTCTGTTTCTTTGCCTCTCTCGCCCAGGAACTTGTAAACTCCCTGAGGTCAGAGACTGTGTCTGTCTGTCACAGTCGTGCCCTGTGGTAGTGTCTGATGGTACCTAGCATCTACTAGATTTTCAATAAATAGTAGATAAGAGAATAAAAGAAAGAATGCTTAGCAGTGTTCAGTGTTGCTGAGAAGTCAACTAAGATGAGCACTGAAAACGCATTAGGTACAAGGAGGTCATTGGTTGACTCTCCACCAGTAGTTTCAGCCGAGTGAGGATACAGACATGGGCGGGGGGGGGGGGGGGGGGGGGGGGGGGGGGGGGGAAGAGCAAGAGCAGCAAGTGTGCACAGGGCCTTGAAAGTGTGGCTGGGAGGTGGACAGCTGGGAGCTGCCCAGTGGAATGGGGTGAGGTCTCATGTTTCTGCTTTTTCTGAGTGGTAGACGATACCTGAGCATGTCTACGGTGTCATAGGAAGGAGCCGGCAAGAGGGAGAGTTGAAGAGATGGAAGAGATGACATGAGATCCCCAGGAAGCCGAAGGAGATAGGATTTGACCCAGAGCCCAGGGAGAAGACAGGAGGATTGTAGAGTGTTTTCAGGAAGGGAAGTGAAGGGTTGGAGCACGAGCAGGGGGAAGAAGTGCATAGTGTATGTGAGAATTGGCCGTGAGATGGTGGGGTGAGGGAGCCGGACCACTAGCCCAAGTCCAGTCTGCAGGGCCTTGAAAGCCCCAGTCTGAAGTTTGGGCTCACTCCCATAGGCAGTGGCGAGCCTGTCCTTGACTTCCCGTATTATGGGTCATCACCTTGGCTAGTCTTCCCAAGTTTGGGACTACCAACAATGTCCAAGGGCCTGGGCATTTCTGTGGCTCCCAGACTTCTGGCAGTTGTGCAGACAGGGCTACTTGCACTGTCCCCACCCTGTGTGTGCTCAGGGTGTGGCGAGTCCAGTCACTTCCCCAGCTGTCCCCGTCTGTGGTCAGGCTCAGTTTGACTTCGTGCGTGGCCACTTTCCCGCTCAGAGCCGTAGAGTTCCACTCCTTCTCCCAGAGCCCAGATGCCCGTCCAGCCTCCAAGCAAAGACACAGAAGAGATGGAAGCAGAGGGCGACTCAGCCGCCGAGATGAATGGGGAGGAGGAAGAGAGTGAGGAGGAACGGAGCGGCAGCCAGACCGAGTCAGAGGAGGAGAGCTCAGGTGAGCCCCACACGCACACCCGCGTGCCCGCTGCTCCTCCTCAGCCAGCCCTGACCGGCTTCTTGTCCCAGAGATGGACGACGAGGACTATGAGCGGCGCCGCAGCGAGTGCGTCAACGAGATGCTGGACTTAGAGAAGCAGTTCTCGGAGCTGAAGGAGAAGTGAGCATGGGACACCCAGGGCTGGGTCTTCAGGCACCCGGGGTGAGGAGGCAGTGGGCCTGGTGCTGGGCAGGGGTGGCTGAGGCCCCAAGTGAGTGAGGACGCTCAGCACATGTCTGATGGATGAGCACATGGCTGCGTGGCTGCCTTTTACCTCCTAGGTTGTTCAGAGAACGACTGAGTCAGCTGCGGCTGCGGCTGGAGGAAGTGGGGGCTGAGAGAGCGCCCGAGTACACAGAGCCTCTGGGGGGGCTGCAGCAGAGCCTCAAGATTCGCATTCAGGTGGCAGGTCTGTGGGCTGTCCCATGCCTTGGGGCAGTCCTCAGTCCCCCTCCTTGTTCCCTTACCAACACCCATGGCTCTGTCCCCTTCCTCTCTCTGCCTCTCCCGGCCTCACCCCTGCTCCCGGCCCCCCTTTTTTGGGCGCCTGGGTCCCTAGCCAAGCCCACTCCCTCCCTCTGCAGGGATCTACAAGGGCTTCTGTCTGGACGTGATCAGGAATAAGTACCAGTGTGAGCTGCAGGGAGCCAAGCAACACCTAGAGGTGGATGTGGCAGCGGGCGGAGGGTGTGGGGGGACTCCGAAGTGGCCGCTGTGTCCCGCCTGGCTGAACCGCCCCACCTCTTCCAGAGTGAGAAGCTCCTGCTGTATGACACCCTGCAGGGCGAGCTGCAGGAGCGGATCCAGAGGCTGGAGGAGGACCGCCAGAGCCTGGACATCAGCTCTGGTGAGGCGAGGGACGGCCCCAGGCACCCCGCGCCGGTCCCAGCTCTGTCACTGCCCACCCCTGTGTAGACCTCAGCTTCCCCTGCCTGCACAAGGGGATAGAAAAGGAGCTGCTTCGGGGGGGTCACTGTGGGGACTGAATGAAACCAGGCATGGAAAGGCCCAACCCAGTGCCTGGCACACGGTGGGGGCTCAGGAAGAGCGGGTCCCCCACCCTCCTCTGGCCTGCTCTCTTCCAGAACAGGAGGTGTCGTTCTGACACGCCCACACGTGCAGTAGCCACAGGCCCCTCCGTGTCCACAGTGCCTACATTCATACAGGGCCCTGGGGAAGCAGAAATTGTCCTCCTCCCACTGAACAGCTGAAGAAACTGAGGCTCGCAAAGGCCCAGTGCCCTCCTTCCCAGGGTCACACGGCTGTGCAGTCGGGACCTGAGCTCAGCTGCCAGCCCCCAAACCCAGCATTCTCCCACGGCCCTGGGAGGTGGTTGATGGGGAGGCCTGGCTTGTGTGAGGGACACAGGCTGCAGGGTTGGGGCGGCCTGGGGGGACCAGCATCCTGATCCTGACTCTGGGTCTGGGGGCCAGAGTGGTGGGATGACAAACTGCATGCCAGAGGCAGCTCGAAGACGTGGGACTCTCTGCCACCCAGCAAGAGGAAGAAGGCTCCCCTCGTTTCTGGTATCCTTCCACCCACGGTGGCCTGAGCCAGGCAGGATGTCAGCGTCTGCTCCAGCCCCGGGGGAGGGGGTGGAGGGACATGGAGGGCAGGGTCTGATTGGACACATGTATGGTCATTTGGCATCCTGTGGCTGTGTGCTGGCAAATCCAGCTGTCAGAAATTTTGGGTGGGGTCCTGGGTCTCTCGTGGGCTGTATGGACCATAGAAAAATAGAAACATCCGTTCAGTGACTCCCCTTAACTTCCTGAGTGAGGTCTCCTTTGAGGCCCTTCTGGCTTTCCCACGATGTCCCTGGGCACGTCCCAGGCCTTCCACCCCCATGCCTTTGCTCACTTTCTACCCTCCTCTTAGAATGCCTTTCTGCCAGTCTCTGCCTGCTCAGTGCTTGTCTCAGCTGTTACCTCCTCCAGGAAGCCTCTCCTGGCCTTCCCCCAATGGCTATGGCTTCTCTCTTCTCTGCACCCCTGTGCCCTCAACTGGGTCACCTGCATCCCATATGGGAGCAGTTGTGTCTGCCCCACCTCAGGCATGAGCCCCCTCAGTCCAGGGCCTGCCATGCCTTCATCCCTCGTGGCATAGCCCAGCGCAGAGTTGAGTTGAATTCTCATGCCCCCCACTCCCACCCTGCCCCGCCCCCATATCCCTGCAGCAACCGGCTGCTCAGGGCATTGACTGCCTGGTGGTGGGAGTCAGGTTCAGGCAGGGAGGGAGGAATCCGCACTGCAGGGCTTGAGGGGAATGGGAGGTGAGGGTGTGGAGGCATGAGGTACAGAGCACAGAGGGCAGAGTGGATGGTCCCCAGAGGATGGAGGGTTGTTTTCAAAATAGAAGAGAGCAGAGTCTGCAGATGGGGAAAGGGGCCCGATGAAGGGACATTTAAGGGCATGGGAATAGAAGGAGCAGGTCCTTGAGCTGGTGGGATGGACCTTAGCCTACTGACCTTGAGACTGGAGAGAGGAGGTGAGAGGGAGCCGAGGGAAAGTAAAGCTGGGGCCCGGTGACCCCACGGGTTCCCCCTCTCCTTGAGAACGGGGGGCCCAGAAGTAGGAGGTGGAGCCTGAGTTCGCACCCAGGCCCTCAGCCCCACCCCACCATCCACCAGCTCCCGAGGGTTAGAGCTCCCGGGCCAAGGCCCGTCCCCTGTCCCCTCCACGGCCTCCTGCTTCCTTGACCCCGTCACAGGCCCTTACATCGTGTACATGCTGCAGGAGATCGACATCCTGGAGGACTGGACGGCTATCAAAAAGGTGGGTCCAGTGCTGCCGCTTCTCCTGCCCCGTCTCCAGGTAGGGGCTGCCAGCGCAGGTCCCTGCTGCAGACCCCAGCCTTGGTCTCTGCAGGCCGTCCCCGCGTGGGCTGTCTGAGGGCCTGGGGAGCTCTGTGCTCGGCCCTCAGCACCCCTGCCCTCAGCCCGGGTTCCCTGGCATTGCTCTGGGCTCACAAGACCCCTTTGCCTGAGGCCACCCTGGAGGAGGGAACTTCTAATCTGTGTCAGCCCCCTCCTTGTTCCAGGGCAGGTTTGCATGGGGTGGGAGAAAGGGAAGGAGGGAAAGCAGCTGGGCTGGCCAGGCCTCTGACAGGAGACCACATCAGAGCTTTGCCTACAAGGGGTCTATGCTCCCCACCCCTCTCGGTGCAGCACTGACCCAGCAGCCCCCAACCCCAGAGAGGCTGATGGGGGGAGAGGACTTGCCAACTGAAGACAGGCTCTCAGGGGGGTTTTCTTCTCACCTACCCAGGCTAGGGCAGCTGTGTCCCCTCAGAAGAGAAAATCAGATGGTAAGCACCACAGGGGTTGTTCCACCTCCCACTGTCCCCGCACCCAGCCCAGCCTCCTGGAAGGGAGCCCCGAGAGGGGCAGAGGCTAGAGAGATCTGTGGCCTGCGAGTCTGGGGTTGAGGGCATCGTGGGGGTGGGGAAGCTCTCGGTTGATGGGGCCAGGATTGGTCAGGGAGGGCTGGTGGGGTCACGGAGGAGGGTGTGGAGCTGCCCTGTGCCCTCCCAGCCTCGACTGCCCTGGGCCAGACCGAGGCCACTCCTCTCAGTCCCCCATATGAAGTGACTGCCTCCCTCTTGACCAGCATCTCACCTGTAGTGATTTCCCTGTCCCCTGTACCCCCAGGACCATGACCCTGCTGTTCACAGCCGAGGGGCCCCTCGGAGCAGCTGGCACCAAACCCAGGATTTGCATTTTCCTGCTGCCACAACACAGACTGACAGGCCCCTAGGGGTCTGCCCCGCCGGCCCTCCAGCACTGCTGCTGGGCCCTCCCATCCAGCCACCACTGGTCTGGACTCCTCCTCTGCCCCTCCTCGGGGGCCTGTACAGCTGTGGCCTGGACCTGCCCTCGCCAGGCAAGACTGTCTCCTCCATCCCCAGCGAGCCCACCACCTCCCCCCCACCACGAAGGCCAGCCTCCTCGGTGCCCTCCCTGACAGAGAAGACGTCCCTCATCTTAAGCCAAAGCAATGTCCTTCTTGCTGACCTTGGACCCGGCCCCCTAGTCACTGAGCCAGTGAGCAGAGCCCTGCTTCGTGGGAACTCGGTCCTGGAAATTATATTTTGGGGGCCTGTCTGTCCTGGCTGTTGCTGGAGGTGAGAAGGCAGGCTCCCCAGGTCTTCTCGAGGCAGTTCTTGGTGTCTTCCTCCCGGATTTCGGGGACTGGAATTAAAACCTTTCCTGAGACTCTGGCGTGACCTGCATGTGTCTGATTTACCTTGCAAGGGAATCAGCTCCCGTGGAGAGTTCCTGAGACAGCAGTCTCTTTGGGGGTCCCTGGTGCCTCCTCTCACTACCCAGCAGGAGCCTATCCACTCTGACTTGGGGTACAGGCTAGGGAAGGGGGAGCTCCTCCCCACAGAGGTGGGGGGCTGGGCCCTGGACTACCCAGTGCTGGTGAGCAAAGTCTGAAGCACCATGTGGCAGAGACAGAACACGTGGCCTTGGGTGGGGAAGGGGGCTGGGTGCTTGGTGCTTGGAGACTGGGTCATGTCTGCACCTGCCCCAGTCGCTTGGCAGATTGGCAAGGCAGGCTGGCAGGGCCTGTGCGCGTGGGAGGCAGCTGGCAGCAGCGCCATGTGCTGACGACCTCCCAGCCAGACTCCCCCCTGTTTAGCGCTGAGTGTTAGAACCACCCCCAGAACCTCACTTAAGCAAAGGGGTTAGTTTCCATGGAGACACGGCATCCTTTCTCCATGGCAACCTGAAATCCCAAAACCCAAGGTAGGCTCAGGAATGAGTCATCTGTGGCCAATAGGGGGCGCTTTCCCACACGGCTGACCCTAAGGCCTGGACAGATGAGCGACTGACACAGACTTAAAGGTGCCCCAGGGGCGAGGCTTGGGCCTCTGGGGACTGAGACAGGCCCTGCTTAACCCCTTCCTGCCCACCCCTGTGGTTCAGGGAAGCTGACAGGGCTGCAGGAAGCACTGAGTGGAGGCGGCAGCCCACAGCTGGGGCCCTCGGAGTGGCGCTTGCAGAGAAGGGATCCCTGCCCCCCGAGGCGGGGCCCAGAAAAGAGAGGCAACGGGCGCTGCCCAAGCTGAGTGGACACACAAGAGTTAACTGGCGGGGTGTGACAGGGCGATCCGCCCTCAGGAAGTGTTACTCACCACCGGGAATGTGAATGCTCTCGCCTTGGGGGCTGGATTCTCTTCCTGAGTCCCTGGAGAAACCAGAAACCGAAGGAGCTCCCAGCCATGGAAACCCCTGGGGAGCCAGGAGCAGGCCCTTTCGGAGCCCCCAGCCTGACCAGCTTTGCACCTGGACACCTGGAGAGCGAAAAGTTAGTGAAGTTGGAAGGGTGGCTGGTGGGGCAGGGAGGGGTGGCAGCACAGGGTCCGTCCTGGGGGCAGAGGAGGGGGAAAGGGTCCCAGCTCCTGGCCTCCTGCTCAGGTCTGGTGCCTGCCTCCAGGCCAGCCCAGGACCCGCTGTATGATGTGCCTGATGCCGGCGGGGGTCAGGCAGGTGGGCCCCAGCGGCCCGGGCGCACCGTGAGCCTGCGGGAGCGCCTGCTGCTCACGCGGCCCGTGTGGCTGCAGCTGCGCGCCAACGCCGCGGCTGCCCTGCACGCACTGAGGACCGAGCCCCCGGGGGTGAGTTGTGCCCCCTCCTTTCAGGGACTGGCCAGCCGAGGATGGGAGGGAGAGGGGCTGGACACGAGGTCTGAGTCTCCGAACCCTGTCCACTCGCAGACGTTCCTGGTACGGAAATCCAACACTCGCCAGTGCCAAGTCCTGTGCGTGCGGCTGCCTGAGGCCAGCGGCCCCTCCTTCGTCTCCAGCCACTACATCCAGGAGAGCCCTGGGGGTGAGAGGAACTGGCCTGGCGGGAAGGGGCTGGAAACAGTTAGGGTGGGTCCAGGGGGGTTCCCCACAGGACACCTTCACTTCCCATCTCTCAGGCGTCTCCTTGGAGAGCTCAGAGCTCGTGTTCCGGGACCTGGTCCAGCTCATCTGTGCCTACTGCCACGCACGGTGAGCCTGGCCACAGGGCACCTGGTGTCTATGGGCCCTGCTCCCCTGGGACACCTTGTCCTCCCCGCCCCCACAGGCCCTCTCAGCCCCCGCAGCCCCAAACATGCCTCACTCCTGATTTTCTGCTCCCCTTTCTGGCCTCAGGGACATCCTTCTCCTCCCGCTCCAGCTCCCCAGAGCCATCCGCCTGGCAGCCACGCACAAGGAACTGGAAGCCATCTCCCATCTGGGCATTGGTAAGGGGTCCCCTGCTACCCACTGCACAGATGGGCAAGCTGAGGCCAAGAGGGAAAGGGAAGGCACGCAGGCGCACACCCTGAAGCTTGTGCCTCTCCCTTGGTTGGACACCCTCCCTGAGGCCCCAGGTGGTTTCTCTTCCCTAGAGTTCTGGAGCTCCTCCCTCAACACCAAGGCTCAGCCTGGCCCATCTGATGGCCCGCTGTTGCCCAGGCTGAAGTCTCGGTCCCCGCAAGAGCTGGACCAGGGCACTGGAGCCGCCCTCTGCTTCTTCAACCCACTGTTCCCAGGGGACCTGGGTCCCACCAAGCGGGAGAAATTCAAGACGAGTTTCAAAGTGCGAGTGTCCACAGAGACCTCCAGCCCCCTGTCTCCACCTGCTGTGCCACCTCCTCCAGTCCCTGTGCTGCCACGGGCAGCCCCCAACCAGACAGAAAGATTGCCCCCTCGCCAGCTGCTGCGGAGGGAGAGCTCAGTGGGGTACCGTGTGCCAGGGGGTGCCGGCCCCAGCCTCCCACCCCTGCCCTCCCTCCAGGAGGTGGACTGCTGCTCCCCCAGCAGCTCAGAGGAGGAGGGGGCACCTGGGTCCCAGGGAAGCCCAGTGACCTCCCCCCGCCTAGGGCGCCGGCCGCCCCTGCTTCGGTCCATGAGCGCTGCCTTCTGCTCCCTGCTGGCACCTGAGCGGCAGGTGGGCCGCGCAGCCGCAGCACTGATGCATGACCGCCACACAGCTGTGGGCCAGCTGGTGCAGGATCTGCTGACCCAGGTGCGGGCCGGCCCTGAGCCCCGGGAGCTGCAGGGCATCCGGGAGGCGCTGAGCCGGGCCCGGGCCATGCTGAGCGCGGAGCTGGGCCCTGAGAAGCTGCTGCCGCCTGAGAGACTGGGTGAGACTCCAGCCCCGGCTTTTGCCTGTTCAGCCTCATCTCTCCGCGATTCCAGTTCGTCCCCTTTCCACTCCCTCCTCCTCTCTACAGTGCCAGCCTGCCTTTCTAGTCTGTTCTGCTGCTTTAAGAACCCACCTCATCTTATCTCCGTTCAAGTGAATTCCATCCTCCACCTCCCCCCCTCCTGTCTCACCAAGACTCCTCATCCTTCTCCCTCCCCGACTGTGCCCCTTCTGCCTGGGACTCTGCCCCCCACCCCTGCCATGGTTCCCCTGACCCCGGACTGCCTCTCCACAGAATGCGTCCTGGAGAAGTCGCTGCATCGCTCTGTGCTCAAGCCTCTCCGGCCCATCCTGGCAGCCCGCCTGCGGCGCCGGCTTTCTGCCAATGGCTCCCTGGGCCGCCTGGCTGAAGGCCTCCGCTTGGCCCGGGCCCAGGGCCCCAGAGCCTTCGGGTCCCACTTGAGCCTGCCCTCCCCAGTAGAGATGGAGCAGGTGCGCCAGAAGCTACTGCAGCTGCTCCGGGCCTACTCACCCAGCGCCCAGGTCAAGTGGCTCCTGCAGGCCTGCAAGCTGCTGTACACAGCACTGAGGACCCATGCGGGTATGCCTCCTCCCACCTCCTCCTACTGACCCCCTGCTGAGTCAGAGGCAACCCCCACCCCCATGAGGCAGGGACTTCCTGAATGGTACAGCGTGGGGGGGGGGGGGGGCGGGAAATGAGTCCAACTCTCCCATCTCACAGATGGTGAAACTGAGGCCCAGCAAGTACAGCATCCTCTCCCTAGCCCCTGCTCATGGTTGTCATAGATACCACATTGCCCAAGGCCTGGCACGTGGAGGGGAGGGTCCCTATCTAAGACGAGGAGTGGCCTCTGACCCGGGGGCCCCAGAGGAGCCTGAAGCTTCCTCCTCCACCCCCCCACAGGGGAGGGCGCCGGGGCCGATGAGTTCCTCCCGCTGCTGAGCATTGTCCTGGCCCAGTGTAACCTTCCTGAGCTGCTGCTGGAGGCCGAGTACATGTCTGAGCTGCTGGAGCCTGCCCTGCTCACTGGAGAGGGTGAGGGACCGCCCCCACACACGCCACATCAGGGTGGGGCTGGGGTGCCTTAGCCGCTGTGTGGCCCTGAGTAAGCAGGGGAGGAGAGAAGGAGCAGGTCACCCACCCCTAGCCTGAGCTGCATTCTTCCCCTTTTGTCCCAGGCGGCTACTACTTGACCACCCTCTCGGCCAGCCTGGCCCTGCTGAGCAGCCTGGGCCAGGCCCACACCCTCCCCCTGAGCCCCTCCCAGGAGCTGCAGCGCTCCCTCAGCCTCTGGGAGCAGCGCCGGCTGCCCGCCAGCCACAGCTTCCAGGTAACAGGGCCTCCACGCCATCTGCCCCAAACTTTCCAGCGTTGGAGGGCTCCGGCATCCTCCTGTGCAGCCCCCTCTTTTCCCAGTGGGGCCTGGCAGGGGAAGGGCCAGTCCTGCATCACCCCCAATAGAAACAGCGCCCCACGCAGAACACGCGTCAGACCCGGGCTCTCTGTGCCAGAGTGCTAAGTGCTGTGGGTACTCAGCCTGGCATCTTCACAGAAACTCTGAAGTAAGGCCATTACTGTCCCCATTGTATAGATGAGGAAACTGAGACACAATGGTAGAGGGAAAGGGACACAGAGGGCAGCTCAAGCTCCAGTTCCTGGCTTCCAGCCCCCAGCTGGGGCTCTGCCCTCCCCTGGACTCAGGCTTCCAGCCCACACTCCCCTCACCCTCCCTTCTGGACTCAGGCCTGGTACCCACAGAGCCAGACGCCATCTGGCCATTCACTGTCCTCTCTATCCAGTGAGGGGATCCTTCCTAGCCTTGGTTAAGAGTTCAGACTTGGTAGCCAGATCCTGGGTTGAAATCCTGGCTCTGCTACTTTCTGGTTGTGGGAATTTGGGAGAGTTATGTAACCTCTTTGTGCCTCAGTTTTCTCATCTATAAAATGGGGCCATAGTACCTGCGTCCTGGGGTGGATGTGAGGATTCAATGAATTAATGCAGGACAAGCCCTTGGGGCACAGGGCACACTCTGTCCGAGTCAGATGGTTGGGCTGTAGGGCCAGGGGGCCAGCCTTCCAGCCTGCAGCTGGGGCCCACTGGCCCAAGCGCATCTCTCCCTTCCTCAGAAGCCCCCTCGGGGCTCACCTCGTCCAAAAAGCTTTTGCCACTTGGTTGTTCCACCTCTGGATTTACCACTCCTCCCCACCCCCGCCCCACCCCTGCAGAGACCATGCTGGGGCCTCAGCTTGGCAGCCACATAGAGACCAGGCAGGGCTGAGTTCTCGTTTTGGCTTCTCCTCCTGTACAGCACCTCCTCCGAGTAGCCTATCAGGACCCCAGCAGCGGCTGTACCTCCAAGACCCTGGCCGTGCCCCCAGGGGCCTCGATTGCCACCCTGAACCAGCTCTGTGCCACCAAGTTCCGAGTGAGCCAGCCTGACGCTTTCGGCCTCTTCCTGTACAAGGAGCAGGGCTACCGCCGCCTGCCCCCCGGAGCCCTGGCCCATGGGCTCCCCACAACCGGCTACCTCGTCTACCGCCGGGCGGAGCGGCCTGAGACCCCGGGGCCCTCCCCTGGGGCTGCAGCAGGGGAGGGCAATGGGGAGCCAGAGGCAGGGAGCAAGGAGGAGAAGAAAGGGGGCCCAGGAGACGGGGACACTGAGGTCAAAGCCAGTGCCAGGGACAGCAGGGCAGAGTCTGAGAGAACTGCCCAGGGAGCTGAGGGGGGCGAGGGCCAAGCCAGGGGGGGCTCTGCTCAGCCAGGGGGGCCAGAGGCCAAGGGAAGCCAGGCAGCAGAGGAGTAGCAGGGAGAGGCCAGAAGGGTCATCTGGGGCAGAAAACTCTGAGCCTGCTGGGAAGGCCTTTTGGAGGAGTCGTCAGCCCCACCAGCCAAGGCCGCAGCCCCCTTAGCCTTCCCCACCTCAGGCCACTCCTGTGTCTGCCACCACCTCTGTGTGCCATTTATCCCTATGATCACACCTGCTGGAGGAATGCCTGACTGGCCATGTCTGGGCCATTAGAGTAAAGTTGAGGCGGTTTGGGGGACGCCAGATCAAGGCCCCAAGCCCCTTTGCCGCACATCCTTTCCCCCCGCTGGAGGCCAACCAGCCTGCAGTGGTGAGCGTGCCCATCAGGGGACAAACCACCAGGTGCCCAACAGCTGGCAGTGGGGGGGGGGCACACAGCGTGGGCAGGGCAGGACTGCTACCAAGCAGCCCCTGCAGGGGGGCCTTCAAGGCCCTGAGGCTCCACCCACGCCTGGTGTCAGGAAGATGCAGGGAGGCAGCAAGGGCTCCGGCCCAGTCCTGCCCCGACCACCTGGAGAACAGCTAGCACCTCCAAACCTCAGCGTTCTCACGTGTCAAGTGGAGTGGCTATTGCTGCCCGGCCTTCTCCCGGAAGTCTTCCAGGGGTCAAAATGGATGGTTTTGCTGCCAAGCAGAGCTCAGACTAGGAGAAAGCGGAGGGAAGAAGGCAGGATGTTAGCAGCCCCCACCCCACCCCTCCAAGGATCTGATCTCTTCTCTCAGGAAGGATGATGTTCTCCAGTGAGCCCAGGGGAGATCCTGGACATCAGGCCTGGCCGAGGGAGCACCGAGTTCCAGTCTTTCCCAAGGTGGGAAGTCCTCCCAGGCCCTCTGGCGTCCCAGGGGAATTGGACAGGGGAGACAGGCTTCTGAACTGGAGCGGGGGCTTAGAAACCGCTTTCTCTGCTCCTAACTCTTTGGGACCTCACAAGAGCTTGACAGGGGCAGGGCATGGCTTATTGCCCACTGAGGTTCAGGAAAGTGACTCCTAAGATATCACACAACAGGCCATCAGGGGTTCCCCCACCCAAACCAGGGTGTCAGGTTCCAACTAGGACCTCTATTCTAAGCCACCAGTAAATTAACCTCAAGGCCCAGGAGGCGCAGAGCAGGCAGCAAATCTGAGGAAAGAAAATGCCAGCAATGACCACAAGGGGGTGCACGTGGCCCAGGAAGCGGCTGAGTGGGTGACCCCAGGGGCGGGGGTGGCTCCAGAGCTGCAGCAGCAGGTGGCCACCGGCTTTGCCAGGCAACCTGGGGACAGTGCAGGGGCCAAGGCTGCAGCCTTCAGCTCCCTTAGAATCAGGGGTCACTCCCTGGGAAGGAACTGTCCCCTGGTGGAAGGAGGAACCCAGCCCGTCTCTGAGGTGCTCCCTCAAGTGCTGAGCACAAAGGGACATCAGCCCATGTGTCAGACACATGACAACTGGAAGGGAGAAATCCTGGACGTCAGGACTTCAGACAATCCAGATACAGCCCACATGCCTGGCTCCCAAATTTCTCACTGGGTCGCCGGCAGCTCTTCCCTCCCCTCTTCCAACACCGCCCCCGCCCCACCCCTGGCCCCCCGAAGCGTCTCGCTGGTCGAGTCCCCCCGTCATTCTTTTGTATGTCCTCTCTCCCCACCCCATGCCCCCCAGTGCCTCGCACAGTGCTGGGCACTCCGTAGGCGCTCAATAAATGCTGTCAACTGCTTGGAGTTCGATACCTAAGAGTGAAGGGCAGTGAGGTGGGAAGCTGGGAGGTTAAGGGAGGGCTGGGTTCTGGGAACCAAACTCAGGAAGCCTCAAGTTCAGTCCCAGAGGAAGGACCTGGAGTGGTTTCGAGGGTGTTCGGAGAATCCCAGGGCCGGATGTGGAGCAGGTCTCCCGGCACTAGGACAAGCCAGGGCTTCTGGGCCCCTGCCTTAGACACCTCAGAGACCCCTCCCAGCCCCTTGCCGTGCTCAGTCCTAACTCATCGGGGCCCTGCCAGGCCCTGCCTGCTGCCTGAGCCTTTGGGTTTATCTTCTCAAGAGACTGATTGGTCAGGGGTCCAGGCCGGGTAAATCAGCATGACCAAGGGTCATGCTACGGGCACTGGGGCTCCCAGCAGGGCAGGCAATGATAGGCTGGTCTAAGACTGCTCTCATTATCCCCATTTGACAGATGAGGAAACTGAGGCTTGCTCAGAGAAAGTGGCTTGTTGCAGGGCAAAGGGCTTGGACACCAGGTACTGTGGAGCTTTGGATCCTGCAGTCATCCAAAACACGACACATTTACTCGTCCCCTCAGGAATCTATTGGGTTCATAGGGACCAAGCACCAAGCACCCACAGCCCTAGCCAGAGGTAAACAGGTGTGATCTGGGCAGTGACAGCCTATTGTGCCTGGATTCTGTACTGCCTCCCTACCCCTCCCTCCCACCTTTGGCCTTCTGGAAGGGGAGGTCGAGGCTCTGAGAGGTGATGCTGGGCAGGGCTGGAACCCTGACGGATGTCTTGAGGAGCGGCCAAGTCATTTCCTCACTTGTAAATGTTGCGCTTACCTCTAGAATCACCGTCGTTCTGTGTGTGAATTTGTTTATTGTCTGTCTTCCCCTCTAGAAGGCCAGAGCCAAGTCAGCCTTGCTCCCGCGGCAAATCTCGGGGGCCTAGAACAATGCCTGGCCGGAATTGACACTTAGCAAATATACGCGGAAGGATCCATTCAGAATGACTCGGCTTAAACAGTCGCTCCGAGCTCCCGGGGTGCGAGTGGCGCATTCTCCATCGCTGCCACCAGGGGGCGAGTGTGCCCGTTCCCAGTCGCTTACTACGTTCCCTTTTGGCCTGAGACCACCCAGGGACCCAGGGCACTCTGAGGACCCGCACCAGCCTGGTGCCAGGAGGGAAGCAGGCCCGCAGTGGGGCCCTGGGACCTTCCTGCGAACAGGGATCCTGTGAATGGAGGTTGGGAAGGTGGGTGAGGGAGGCGCCACCTCCCCCCAGGGCCAGGGCCTGTGGGGTAGCCTGAGAGGGGACTCTGTGTGTGTGTGTGTGTGGTGGGGGGAGGCAGCCGCTGAGACCCACAACCACACCCTGACTCACCTTCAACATACAGCATTTAACACCCTGCCATGACCTTGTGACCCATGTTCACACCCACAGTTTAACACAGAAAGACATCCTGACTCATATTTGCACACAGTGTGTGACACCCCGCCTGCGGTGGTCATGTATGGTACATCTGGACACCCCCAGTCTTAGCTGGAACACCCAGGGTGTTAGGAACACCCTGACACTGTTAGCCATTCACGCCCTTCGGGATGGGACAATGACACCCCTGAGCCCCGCCTTCGAGCCACACCCTGACGCACACATCCGTAGATCTACAGACTCAGAAATATTCCCTCAACACCCTCCCTCTCGGGCTTAGAACATGACTCCCTGACACACACACATGGGGACAGGCTGACACAGAGACATGGTGACCTGCTATACAGGGACTCCGCGACACACTTACACCGACCCATGCAGGACTGCCACTGACACACCCAAGTCCCCCACTCAGACAGGGTACATGCTTCCTCCTCACTCTGCACGGGCATAACAAGTGTACACACACACACAAACACACACACACAACACAAAGACGCACACATACCTTTTTACACTTTAGATCATGCAGAGAGGCCCAAGCCCTCTGACTAACCTCACTCCCAGCCCTGGCCTGTCTCTGCCACCACTCAGCCACCACCCCCGTGGTGGACACTGGTGGGGGCTATGAGTTGCTGAGAAGACCCCCACAGGGGGTGTGGCGACCCCACTGGCCAGGCAGGAGGCCGAGGCCGGCAGCACTGGGCGGGGAGGCCTGAGCTCATCAGATTCCAGCCTGAGTGATTCACGGCAAGCGCCTGGGGAGGATGGGGGACTGGGGGGGGGCGGTGTTAATGGCCCAGGGGCGGGGGCTTTGGGGGCCTGGTGGACTTCAGACCAGAAGGTCTTGGGTCTAGAGCAAGCCTCTAGTCTGAGAGGGGGTCTTCCGAGGGGGTGGCCCAGCCTGAAGGGGTGTCTGCTGGGCCTGGCTCCTGGGAGGGGCTTAGGACACAGTGTGAGCAGCCGGATGAGACAATCGGGCCCTCCCGCCCACCCCACCCCGGGCCTGGGCCCCTGACCCCATGCCTTCCTGGCCCTAGCAGCTGGGTGTCTTTAGCAAGGGTTAGGCCAAGGGTGGGGGCAGGGGTGGAGTGACCTTCACCGCCATCTTGGCCCCTCGGGCCCTTGGGCAGGCAGCCCTCAATGGACCCCAGAGGCCCTGGGGGGCTGGACCTGCCCGCCCGCCAGGGCTGAGCGGGTTACAAACCCTGGCTGCCCTACCAGGCGAGGCCTCTGCCAGAGAGTGGAGAAGGCACGGCTGGCCCGGTGCCGTGGAGATTTTCTTGCTGAGATGGAGCCCTCTGCTCCTGCCACCCCCGGAACCCGGCCTCCCAGGCCAGGCTGATGCTCAGAGGACCCAGCTGCTCCTGCAGGGCGACAGGAAGAAAGGATGGGGCTGGGGCTAGGATGGGGGCGCAGGAAGTGCCTTTCTTGGAACTCTGCACCAAAATAGCCCGTTCTGTCCCTACTCTGCGTCTCAGTGTCCCACGGGGGGAGGTGTGTGTCACCAAGGAGACCTTCACCAGGGAGGGGCCTGAGTTGACCTTAGTCTGGCTTTTGCTCGCCACCCTCCCCCCGTCCCTCCCCTGCCAGCCCCCACCACCCCCGCTCCAGGCTCTGCTCCACTTTGAAGTCCTAACATAAATATCATGTCTGCTTGGGTTCCCCTTCCCGGCCCGGTCACAGCCCCCAGACCTGGCTCCCACCCCAGCCAGCCCTGGGGGTGCATGCCGGGGGAGAGGAGAGAGGCCTGGACCACCCAGGGAAGGTGGTGAGCCAGAGACCCTGGGACGGGAACCGGGAGACAGAGGGAGTGTGACACCAGAGATGGAGAGGGGAGACACAGAAGTGGGCAGAGAATGGAGAGACAGACCCCAGAAACCAAAAAGGTAACACTCCTGGGGACCGGAGAGGAGACAGAGAGACCCCAGAGACAGGCAGGAAGAGCTAGAGACCCCCAACACAGAGAGAGAAGAGAGGAACAGGGAGAAAGAGGCCCTGCTGTCAGAGGGAGGGACAGTGAGATGTGAGAGAGCCCTGGGGACAGCGAGGGGGCAGGAAGAAGAGGGCGCTGGACAGGAAGAGAAGGGATAAGTTCCAGGGTGCGGGTGGAGACAGCGGAGGCTGAGACTGAGGTAGCAGTGGGAAGGACGTGGTGGAAAGAGAAATGTCCCTGGCAACAGGGGGACCAACCGTCCTTGTTTGCCTGGGGCTGAGGAAGTTCTCAGGACACAGGACTTGCAGTGCTGAGACCAGGAAAGTCCTCAGCAAACTGGGACAAGTTAGTCACCGTGGGCAGCAGGCCTCTGCCAGCCACCACAGGGACCAGAGTCCACTCCCATAGGTACCCCTCGCACAGAGGAGGAAGCTGCGGCCCAAGAAGGGCCAGCCAGGACCGCCCTGGAGCACACAGCAAGGCTGGGGCAGGGCCAGCCTCCTGGCCTCTCCATGGAGCCTTGCAGCCAAAGGGCACCAGAGGGAGGATACGAATAGTGAGGCCTGGGACAGCACCTGTCCCAGCCTGGGATCCCCAGACTTGGGTACAGTCCCTGCTCTGCCTCCACCACTGTGTGACCTGGGGCAAACCTTGTCCCTCCCTGGGCCGTGTGTACACTGAGGGGAAGGGCTGGGCCCTTCTAGCTCTGATGAGGGCTCCAGGACTCACTTCCTTGTGGGCAAATGTGGCAGATGTTCAGGTTAGGT